ACCCCTTGAGGCGCTATACTTATAGTTACAGTCAATAAGTTTGTCTTTGCAGGGTTCTTGCATGACGCGCAATAAATCATTTTGTGAATTCGCATAGCGAGATGGGACAATTGATGACTAATGGGGTTTTTTTTACTGTCCGTGGATACTTTATTAATTTCGCGACTTTCCCAAAGTATAAGTTTAGTCTATTGTATTGTAATCAACGTTCTAACTTCTCTCACATGAGAATGAACTGGCTAGTATTAACGTGGAAAACCCAGACGATGCTGATAAGCGACTCAACCCTGAGCGATTGGGCCTTTCTATCTATGTAGGTCCAAGCTTGTCACCAAAGTATATATTTCCTGAGCAGTTTGTGGGCGGTGATCAAACAAAGATACAGACCTAGCGGTTGTTTTGGGGAACATCCACAGCAAGAACAGAAATCAAGGTAAGATACTGTTTGTGTTGTTGGTATTGGGGTTGTTGGTTGTTTTTTTGGTGTGTCTATTATTGGTATTTTAGGTTTTACTGGTAGTCATTAAATTGTTTATGTCAATTTGAACGTTCGGCTAGGAGCTTAGAGTTATAGAGTTGCCTTTTATAGTTGGACATTTAGATATAGTGGATGTAGATATTAACATAAATACATCACAAATAATCCAACAACAGAAACTCAATGTTGAACATGACGTCCAAGGAATCGACCAAGAAATTTGCCTCAGGGTTTTTCAAAATTTGAAGTAGTATATTGGAGTTTGTGGGGAAAGAAATGGTCATAAAAACCTGGAGATTTAAACATACACTGTCTGTCCTAAATGTATTTGACAATATTAGTTTTGTACTGATGTGTTCTTCTATACATAAATAATGACCTTTTGAAACGGAATAATATACGGTTAATTTGTTTTAAGAAATTGAAAAATTTTAGATTTCACTCAGCTTTGGTTAAGTTTTTAAAATTGGACGTTTCGAACGTTTGGATTGATTTCTTTTATTTTGACAAATGTAACGACCCCCTTGCTGAATTTGATTTCTTCGAAGTATAGTTGGAAGTTGGTCCAAAGATGACCGAGTCATTGTTCTTTAGATGGACCCTCTTAGTTAGACACACAGTGTATTAAGAGCATCAATTTGACATCACAGTTCCTTGCTGATCATTTTGGAAGGACAGTAAAGTTGGTAACACCTTACACTATCGAGGAGCAGTGATCGAATGTTTCCCTTGTCTTCTTCGCTCTCTCCCCCCCCCCCTCTCTCTCTCTCTCTCTCTCTCTCTCTCTCTCTCTCTCTCTCTCTCTCTCTCTTCTTCTTCTTCTTCTTCTTCTTCTTCTTCTTCTTCTTCTTCTTCTCCTTCTTCTTCTTCTTCTTCTTCTTCTTCTTCTTCTTCTTCTTCTTCTTCTTCTTCTTCTTCTTCTTCTTCTTTCTGTCTCCCTCCTCTTTCTCTTCATCTCTCTCGATCTTTCTATCTCTTTTTCGTTGCTGCTGCTTTTCGTGTCTGTTGTTTCACTTTCTCAGTTTGTGTGAGTGCCGTTTGTTACATAGATCTACTTTTATTTCGTGTGAATGTATGAGTGTGAGTGTGCGTGTGTAGGAGTGTGAATGTATGTGTGTATGAATGTGCGTGTATGCGTGTATGAGTGTGTTGTGTGTGTAGGATTTTTATTATGTATGTGTGTTGGAGTGTGTTATGTGTGTAGGATTTATATTATGTTTGTATGTAGGAGTGTGTATGTATGTGAGTATGGATGGGAATGTGTGTACGTATGATTATGTATGTATGTGTGTAAGAGTGAAAATCTGTGTTTGTATGAGTATGTTTAATATGTGAGTATGAGTGGAAATGTGTGTACCTATGAGTGTGCTGGCATTTGTATATGCATGAGAATTTGCGTATGAGTATGTGTGGAGAGAGAGCGAAATATGTAACGATATGGATACTGATAAACAAGAAACGAAATGACATAAATCAGAGATAAAGAATAAAGGACGAAACAAACAAGTGAGTGGTGTCTTGACATATCGGGTGACAGGTAGTCCCTGTCAGTGGAACGTGAAGCAATCAAGAGTTAACTATTATTTAAACACAAAAAAACAAAACGGACATCGATAACACAATAATCAATTTTGTGACGTCTAGTGCATTTTGAGAAATATGGCTGTTTTTCAGTCGCTTTGAAAAGGGTAGCAAGAATTGACAGACAGATAATTATTATAGAAATTCATTTGTATCAACGGCAGTAAAATTATTGAACACACAGTGCTACAAATGAAACACAGAGAGAGAAAAAGAAAGAGAGAGAGAGAGACAGAGAGAAAGATGGAGAGAGAGAGAGAGAGAGAGAGAGAGAGAGAGAGAGAGAGAGAGAGAGAGAGAGAGAGAGAGAGAATGTTTGACGAAGCGGGTTGTTTCAGCACATGGGACTTGTATTTTACTAATGCCCTGTCTTATTGTGCGTAGCGTGAGTGCACCTAAGCTTTGTAACATCCACTGCCACTGTAAACGACCAAGACAAATTCTTATCACGTTGAGATGAAAAAAAGATTGTCATTGTCATTGTCTTTGTCATTGTCTCGCACTGATGCGATCTATTTTCTTTTTGCTCTTCTTTTCCAAAACATAATAATATGTGTTTTGTTTTTGCTGTTTTTGTTTTTGTTGCTGTTGTTTTTGTTTTTGGGTGGGTTTGGGTGGGGTTTTTTTCAATGTTCAACATTCCATAAAAACTAGGATTTAGGTTCGTCAGTAGGTGGAATTTGACCCTGGCTGAGAGGGATGTAACGTAGTAGCAGAAAGATCAGTGCACTTTATAAAAGAAAAATGTGTCCCCCTCAGGAATCAAACTCGGGTCTTATGGGTGTTACACCTATCATTTCCTTTTTATGAAGTAAATAATAAATAATTAGTGAGACAACAGGTGAGAGAGAGGGAGAGAGAGAGAGAGAGAGAGAGAGAGAGAGAGAGAGAGAGAGAGAGAGAAGGAGAAAGCGAGAGGAGGAGGAGGAGGAGGAGGAGGAGGAGGAGGAGGAGGAGGAGGAGGAGGAGGAGAAATTGGAGAAAGATGAAGAAGGGGGGAGAAAATGAAAAGACGGAATGGTCATATTATTATCTTGTTTTGGTAAGTGTTTCACGGCGTTCGCAATTGCATATTGTAGTTTAACTATAAATGCATTTTGTTTACATACACACACCCACCTCATGTAGCAATCCAACTTGCTCTAACTGGTCACAACTCTCTGCTCTGCGCCTCGAACGCTACTCACGCAGTCTTCAAAAGTCCGTGGCTCAGGCCTCGACCTGTCCTTGGTTTCTTCAATGTCAAAAAGGTAGCATACCGTACTCGACTACTTTTTCGAGAATCACACAGCTAACCACAATACATATATACATAACATATATACATAATATACATACCTATCATACATACATAAAATACATATATAAATAACATACATATATACATAACATACATACATAACATACATACATAACATACATACATAACATACATACATAACATACATACATAACATACGTACATAACATACATACATAACATACAGATATACATAACATACATATATACATAACATACATGTAGTTTAACTATAAATGCATTTTGTTTACATACACACACCCACCTCATGTAGCAATCCAACTTGCTCTAACTGGTCACAACTCTCTGCTCTGCGCCTCGACCGCTACTCACGCAGTCTTCAAAAGTCCGTGGCTCACGCCTCGGCCTGTCCTTGGTTTCTTCAATGTCAAATAGGTAGCATACCGTACTCGACTACTTTCCCGAGAATCACACAGCTAACCACACGCCCCCGTGAGCTCAAGATCAAACAAAACAAAATAAACAACAACAAAAAAAAACTTTCTGAAGTTCTTCAACGTGCGAACAGGACATGGTTCAACGCTATCAACACTTTGTACACTTGATTACTCCATTTACTGAGTTTCATAGTCCACCAACCAACCGGGGGTTTTCCTGACTCGATCAGGATACCGCCTGGGAGGGGGTTCACCTGCACCTTCGTTTCTCGTCAGGGTCTGCAAGGTTTGCTGCTCACCGCCACCTCCCTCATCATCCTCTTCCTCTGAAGTTACATCTCGTACCACTCTTCTAACATCGAGAACGTGACGAGCCATACCATAGACAGCAACATTGTTGATCGAGTTTACTCCCGTAACCGTACCTCTATTCCACTTAGTCGTACATTTGCTCTGGGGTGGTTTAACCCAAACATCATCTCCAACTTCAAATCTTCCTTGCCTGTCTTCTTCTTCATTAACAACGATATGGTTTCTCCAATCATTACGGTAGACAGCTCTCTGTGGCACTGATGCTGGGTCCAAACCTGCTTTTGGTGTTGAGTTGTACCAAAACACAGCTTCTTGGGGGGGGGAATGTTTCCTCATTCTGCAATGGACTTCACTGTACGGTGGTGTCTCTCAACAATCCCGTTCCCCGTAGGCCTATATGTAGCTCTGAACAATGGTTTGATATTCTGTTTCTGAAGCATCTGCCAAAAACAATCTGAATGAAACACTGTGCCATTATCCATTAAGATCTCGCGCACTGGTCCTCTCTCAAACATGAGTTCTTCAACTACTTCCGTCACAAACCCTGCTGTCTCTCTCTTCAGCTGCATCCAAATTGCGAATCGCCCTGGGCCACAATCAACAATTGACAGGTATGGCACTTGATGATGGTGAGTTATGTCTATTGCCAATCTTGTCCAGTCTGTAGCGACATCTAGGTTGCCCGCCTCATGGACAACTGGTGCAGGATCGATAGACTGACATTGCTCACAAGCTTGTACGACTTTTTTAACATCAGCACGGCTCGTTTCTAGCGATCCAACTCGCACTGACTGGTCGCAACTCTCTGCTCTGCGCCTCGACCGCTACTCACGCATTCTTCAAAAGTCCGTGGCTCACGCCTCGGCCTGTCCTTGGTTTCTTCAATGTCAAATAGGTAGCATACCGTACTCGACTACTTTCCCGAGAATCACACAGCTAACCACACATATATTGCATAATATGAGCGCGCTTATTTTCTAACGGATTTCTCTTTCAGATAATGGGCCTTTTGCGAGGAATCTACAGTGGGATAGCCCTGTTTGAGGAATTCCTGGGCATCTTATTTCTCATTGGGGCCATCGCCACGAGAGATTGGATCGCGGTTGAAGACACACTTTATGTCGGACTTTTCAAGACAGAATACAGAGGATTCGTGAGTGACACAACCGACTTCTTTGAACGCAATGGCGAAAGTGCTGGTACGTCTTTTTTTTTTTTTGGGGGGGGGGGGGGGTAGATCTAAGTGTTTTACGACGCTCGCAACTGCATACGGCCAGATGAGCGCGTGGGACACACCAAACATTTCCAGTTTGTAGGAAATTTTTAATTTTGTCCGGGTGGCGGCCGAAGCATACTCTTATCGATTTTAGACCACCGAGGGACCACTGTGTGAGCAACTTGCACACGGGATCTCCGAGATTTTTCGCCCTTGTCCATGAAGGCTAGGTGCTTAATATCTTTACTACCAGAAGAAAAGGGGTTTCGCTGAAAGACAGCAGTAAGAAGGTGCCAAGGAGTAGCAGTAGAAAGTCTGTAGAAAGAGCCAGGGGCCCAGTGGAGGGGGCAAAGGAAGTTTAGGGGGTGGGGACAGAAAGTGGAAACAAAAACAGACGACAGAACATTACTAAAGAGCAATAGAGGAGGTGAAAGGAGACAAGTTTAGAAAAGAAATGTCTCCGTCGCTACCCGGATTCAAACCCGGGACCTTTGAATGAGAGGCGGTACAATTGTGAGACGTAATGGTGGAATCAGGCGCTCGTCACAAAAATGAATTTGAAGATATCGGCATTCTTCTGCCGGTTTGGCAAATCCATTTTCTCGTTAAAATAATTTTCGGCTCAGAACTGTTATGTCCATTTAAAACACATTTCGGAGTGAATTTTACTGAAAAACGTTCCTATAAGTACACAAAAAGTAAACTTGCTGTTTTCAGAGACTCTCAAGCCATCAGAGTTACCAAAAGTTGGCGGCCATTTTTTGGCTAATTTTAGCTTTGAAACTTTCCAACCACACATCCTTCAATCGTTAAATATCTTAACTACGATTTAAGAAAGATGGATAATTTTGTTATTGAAAGATAGACAAATGAACAAGCTTATTTCAGTGTGGATTTTACTGAAACATGTTAATTCAAGGCTAAAAAATGTAAATTTGCAGTTTCTAAGGACTCTCGAGGTTTGAAAGTCGACAAACTTTTGCAGCCGTTTTCTCGTTAATTTTACCTCTGAAGCAAAGCGACCCCCACCTCTTTCAATCACCAATATCTCTACTTCTATTCATGATAGATCAGTATTTTTTTTTCACTGAAAGCAAGACAAATGAACACGCTTTAAAATGAAACCAATACCTCCACATGTCCAAAAACTGACGAGCATCGTATTCCACCTGTTTGTGACACATATTATTTGTGGCAGCGTGGTGGAATCAGGCTGTCGTCAAAATAATCAAAGTGAAGAAACTAGCATTTTTCCGCAGATTTGAGAAATTTTATCGAATTTTTGGTTTTTGGCTCAACACCCTTCATGTCTATTAAAGAACTCATTTCTGTGTGGATTTGACTGAAAAACGTGGATTGAAGGCACAAAAAATGTAAATTTTCAGTTACCACGGACTCTTATGCTAAGGAAATAACTAACTTTTGGCAGGCTTTTTCTCATTAATTTTACCTCTGAAACCAGGTGACCCTAACCTCCTTCATTTGCAAATATCTCGACTTGTATTCAAAATAAATTGATTTTTTTTCTTCCAAAAAAAAAGACAAATAAACAAGCTTTAAGATGATACCAATAACTCTACATGCCCAAAAATTGACGAGAGCCTGATTCCACCACGTCATGCCACATATTTGTTGACAACTCAAGCATCAAGTTCTTGTTTGCCTCGAAGCAACCTCCAGAATCTTTTTTAAGCTAGGTCGGAAGCTAGCTTTATGTATCCCCTACTTAACTTTCAAGCGAGACTAAAATCTCCATATTATTGACTTTTGAACTAGGCTCTTAAACATAACTTTTTCTTCTGACTTTTCCTCCAGGCTTCGTGAACGCCTCGATAGGACTGATGTTCATCTCGCTGGCCAGTTTGACAGCCACCTTTGTCCTCACTATCATCTTGCAGAAGAAGATATCATTCTACTTGCTCCTCGCCATAACTCTTCTGGCCATCCTTCCAGGTAAGTCGATGAGGCTCAGGGAGGAAGGAATGGAAGGAAGGAAGGAAGGAAGGAAGGAAGGAAGGAAGGAAGGAAGGAAGGAAGGGAGGGAGGGAGGGAGGGAGGAAGGA